GGGCACTTACCACCCCTTCTCCTCTCCCCGGCAAAATGTCTCAGGTATATGGCTATTATTATTCTTATTATTTTCTCGCCTGGTCCATTATACTCCTGCTATGAGTGAAACCATCCGGTATTTTTCTTTTTCTTTCTGGCTTATCTCACAATCTTCATATTTTTATGTAGAAGTGTTTATTTCTTATACTCCTTTTTCTTTTCTTTTTTAAAGATTTGTTTATTTATGCATATAAGAACCAGGGTACAGATGATATGAGGATTCACCAGAGACAGAGTAGGGAACAGAACAGGATGATTGAATGAAATATACTGCTGAGGGGAGCAGTAAGCTGGTCAGGTCTACCTGTGGGTCAGGATCAAACTTGTGCTATAGTGGCTGTGGATTGCTTCATAGTGCTTTAACCCTTTGTGCCATCAAGGAGAGCCCTCTTACACTCCTTTTCCACTTACACTTCACTCTCTCTCACTGCTTCACAGACCTTCTTGTTTCTCAAACACATCAGGCATTCTCTTTGCCTATAAAACTTTATAAATATTTACATAGCCTACTCCCTCACTTCCTGCAAACTTTTGCTCAATGAGACCTACATTTTACTAACCTATTAAAAATTTCATTCCATTCCCCATTCCTTTTACTCAAGTTGCTATAGTATATGATTTTATTTATTCTAATCATATCTCTTTCCACTAGAATTCCAGCATTTTTAGAATAAACATCTCCCCCCAACCTATGTTACTCACTGATTTGTCTCATGAACATTGCCTCTCACTTAAAAAAGAACTCGAAAAATATTTGTCCAATTAATGAATACTTTTTTTTTAAAGATTTATTTATTTATGCATATAGACTGGGGTACAGGTCAGAGGTGCAGGAGCGGCGAGAGGCTTCACCAGAGACAGAGTGGGGAGCAGAACAGGCAGATCGACGAAGTACACTGCTGAGGGGAGCAGTGGGCGGGTCAGGAGAGGTCTGACACGCCATGTGGTCACCTTCGGGGCAGGCGGGAATCGAACTCATGAGGAAGTGGCTTTAGCTTCTCAGTGTTGTGCTTCAACCCGCTGTGCCACCAGGGAGGGCCCTATGAATACTTTTTGCAGTGGATTTTCACATCCTTTTTCTGATTTCAACCTTTCTATATCTCCAGCTTACTTCCCTTCTATCCATGCAGTTCTTCAAGTTCACATACTAGTTTTTATTTTCTTTTGGCTTAGGGTGTTTTAATTACAGAAGTGGGATCTTAAATACCTATTACTCAGCAACCAGTTTTTCTCACTTAACAATACCAGATGGGAGTTAGAGAGCCTACATTCTTCTTAATACTTGCGAGATGTCCCATCGTATGTCCCAGCTTTTCTTCATGTTTGTCACAACTGTTGTATTTCTATTTCCTTCACTCTGAACCATCCCATTCCCTGGCTCCCTTATTTTTCCCTGCACCTAGCAGCACTGACCCTTTCATTTCACATCTAACACAACAGTATCTAACCCAATGTTGTCATTCAGTGTTACTCCACAGGTCTGTTTCTGACAATTTGCTATGTGCATTCTTTGAGAGGGAACACGTGGAGGATCAGAAGAGGACACTAATAAAGAAATGAGGTGTTACATCCGAATAGATGGCAAGGAAGGAGAGTAGGGGTGAGCCTCCTCCAGCAGGGTGAGCCGTGGCATTGTGGACATAGTGGACTGAGCGCCCTGGGCTGGGAGCACCAGGACTCTGCAGAACACCGGGGGGTGCTAGGGCCCTGCGCGGCGGGTCGGACCTGGGCGGGGCCGGGAGAGCCAGGTCGGCTGGAGGCGGGCGGTGTGGGCGGAGCGCGCAAATGCGCAGCGGCTGTCGGGCACTGGGGCGCTCCTGGCGGTCTGCTGAGCTGCGGGAGCCATGGGGCGCGCAGCTGGGGAACTGGTCTTGTCGCTTCTGGGGCTGGGGCTGCTGCTTTGCAGCTGGGGGTGCCCCGGGAGCGCCGAGCGGCGGGCCCCACCAGATAAGATCGGTAGGCGAGGAGGGGGTGGTTCGGGGAGGGGTGCGGTAGCGCGCCCCGAGCCGGGCGGCTTCCGTGTCGGGCGCCAGGCCCCGCAACCGCGACGCTCGCCCGGCCGCGCGGGACCGGCCCTCGTGTAGATTGCTCTGTTCCGGGTTCGCCCTTCTGGTTTCACTGCCCAAAGGCTGGAGATGGAAATGCGTTCACTGGAGGAACGGTGGAGGGGGGATGCGGGTGGGTAGGGAGCTGGCGTTAAACGTCCCCGTAGCCCAGATCGCTCAGGTCTTTGGTTTCAGCGAGGCGATGTCCCTTTGCAGCCTTTCCTTGCTGGCCCTTTGGCAGGCAAAGGTTCTGGTTCGTCCTGGAGGGGGCCGGGCCGCTTCAGCTGTGCAGATGACAGGCGCACGCGGGCCCTGTACTAGGCAGTGCAAACTAGCTGACCCGTTCTGTATCCATGGAAAGGCTGCAGCCCCTTCACCCCCAGCCCCGCTCTGCTCTGCTGAGGTAGGCCTCCTCGGAGAGGCTTGCACAATTGTGGCTTGCACAATTTTCTCTGCTTAGGACGCCTGCATAGCCAAAAGAATGTACTTTCTTTCCAGTTTCAAGCAGTTTTTTTTTGCTGCCTGTTTGTTTTGCTTTGGTTTTTATTTCCCTTAAAGCTGTGCTCTTTAGGGTCATTCACCTAGCTACATTATGAGACAACAAATCCAGACAAAAAATGGCGGCCACTTGATTTAAATGCGTTCTGGAAAAGCCCACCTCCTCTATTTCTATGCTTTGGGCACAAAGGAGGATGGGTAGGCCCAGGGGTGCTTCAGCAAAGAACAGAAGTTTTTGGGCATGTAGCAAAATAAAAAGTACTGAATGTCAGTCTGAAAGGTAATCTTACACCTTTTTTGTCTGGAGGCAGTCCAGACTGCCTGTCCATAGAGGTGTGTCTCAACAGCAACTGGCTCTTGCCTGCTCCTCGGGCTTGCTTAAAATGCTGACAGTAACCTTAAGTAACATCTATTATTGGTTAGTGACCTTTGGAAACAAAGCAGGATTCACAGGGCTGGTAAGAGAAAGAAGCTGATCTTTTTTCCCTCCCCATAGCCATTATTGGAGCTGGAATTGGTGGTACCTCGGCAGCCTATTATCTGCGACAGAAATTTGGAAAAGATGTGACAATTCACCTGTTTGAACGTGGAGAGGTGGGGGGCCGTCTGGCTACCATGTCTGTGATGGGGCAAGAATATGAAGCAGGAGGTGCTGTTATCCATCCTTTAAATCTACACATGAAGCGTTTTGTCAAAGATCTGGGTATGTCGTTTGTGCTTAGAACTGAGTAGATTTGTGTGTGACCATCCATGGATGTTTTCAGCAGATAGGGAACTGAAACTCTGCTGCCTTGTTAATTGTCTTTGACAGAGAGCGTTCCCTTGCTTTCCTCTAGCGATTGGTACTACCTGAGGAGAGCCTCTCTCCTGTAATGGGACACTAGTTACCTGAATCTTCAGTTATCTGGAATTACAGCCATGGGGAGGGGTTGGGGTAGGGCTGGCTACAATTGTTAGTTCTTAAATCTTTGGGTTCATGGTGAAAAATACTTTGTGTTAGCAGAAACCTAGCATGCTCATTTTATAGTTGGGGAAATGGGGCCCAGAAACTTGAATTGTCTGGCTTAGTCACACAACTATAGGTACAGGCATGTGCCTATAACCCAGGATAACTGACTGCTCCTCTCCCAGCAGAGCTGGGCAGATTGTGGGGAAAGTCTGGCAGGCCTCTGCAGGTCCTTTCCTTGGGGAACATGGTGTCATTTTGTCCTCCTTCCAGTTATCTAAAATACCAGTTATGCAAAACAGGATGAGTCTAGAAATGGGGAGGCTTCCTTTCTCTTCACTGCCTTCTTCATCCCTTGTGGATGCTTCCTGGGCTTTCCTTTCCTCCTTGAGGACATTTGTTTGCCAGGGACAATTTGCTCAGCAAAGAGTGATGCCTGACAATTCTGTTTTTAAGTTATATTCAGTCGGTTCTCTGGTTTTTCCTTTGACTTTTTAGTTTAAAAATAGCCTGTCCAAATTTGACATACCTGCATAATCCTGTGACCCATCTTTTAGATAATCTGTTTTTGGACAGTGTGGAAAGTGTATAGTGTAATTATACCACACACTGTTCTAAAGATAGAACTCCTTTACTATGTCTCCTGAGAGCTGGGGGAAGGCTGGAACTCACGTAATTCTGAATGTCTGGGATAGCTTCAGATACCTTCTTTCATTTGATCAGCACGGAAGCCACTGACCTAGCTACTTTTTCTCTGTTTTTGCAGGTCTTTCAACTCTTCAGAACTCTGGTGGCTTAATGGGAGTGTACAATGGAGAGACTCTGGTGTTTGAGGAAAGCCCCTGGTTTATAATTAACATTATTAAATTAATTTGGCAGTATGGATTTCAGTCCCTCCGTATGCACATGTGGGTAGAAGATGTGTTAGACAAATTTATGAGGTAATTTTTTTCCCTTTCCATTTACTCTAAAATCATTTAGTTAAATGATCTTCAGGATTTAATGTGTCTTGGAACACTTCACTGGGTAGCTGCAAGACTTGTTCGTAAGATGTTAGGCAAAATGTTGTGTATGAAATAAATATATACCACTTACCCACTTGGAAATCAAAAGGGTAGTTTATTTCTGCTTTTGAATATGTAATTTGAATATGTAATGCTTAGTTAGTTTTGTCATATACTCTCAAATGCCCTACAAAGATCAACTCCTTAAATTGCTATGATGGCACTCTCTGGTGGGTACTGTTATTAACTTCTATTCACAGTATGGAAGGCAGAGACAAGTGTGCAAGAGCTGGGGATAGCTGGAGTTCCTGCCTAGGCATTCTGCCTCCAAAGCCCGCACTCCTAATCTCAGTACTATGCTGGTGTTGTGTAGATGAATGAGGCAGTATCTTCAAGTATTTGGAGAAAGGAGTAAAAAACTTGAACTTTAATTATGACATGATGTTTCTGGGAGTCAGCAGCATGAAGTAGAGCTTCAGCTCTGTGTCCCACAAATGGGATAGAGATAAATTCCAGTACTGTCCTGGGTAGTGAGTATACAAGTGCCTGTTTTTTTTTGTCTTTGTTTCCTGTATTTTCAAAATCTTCTGTATGTATGAATGTATATTGCTTTGGTGATCAGGAAAAAATAAGATCCATCAGTCTAGTTTTGAAAGATGCAACTTGAAAAAAAAAAAGATTTACTTATTTATGCATACAAGAACTGGGGCATAGGCCGGAGGTGCAAGGGGTCAGAGGATTCACCAGCGACAGAGCAGAGCAGGTAGATCCACTGAAATACACTGCTGAGTGGAGCAGCAGGTGGGACAGGAGAGGTCTGCTGAGCAATGTAGTTCAGCTTCCTGGCCAGGTATTGAGCTAATGCTGCTGTGGCTGCAAATTGCTTCATAGTGCTGAGACTTAACCCGTTGCGCCACAGGGAGGCCTGCAACTTTTTTTTTAAAGACTTGGCATGTGCTGATTTTTATGCTGGTTTACAGCTTCAAAGTGCTAATGGTATTTCATCATTATGACAGTCCCGAACATAATAAAATAATTGATAAATGAGTAAACTTCCATGTCATTTGACCTAGCATTTAACAAGACAAATATTTTACTCAGAATAAATGTACTCTAGTTTCTGTCACTAGAGGGCGCCTCTTCCCTTGCACTCCTCTGATACTAAGTTCTCAGAACTCAGTCCTGCCTGGGGCTGCGAAAGGCAGCCTTTGTCTTTCCCTCTGTCAGCACTGCCTTTTGCCGCCATGGTGAGCCAGCCAAATCCCCTCCCTTCATCTACGAGACAAAATAGGAGACATAGACTGTGACACCCTAGTCCCCACCCCCAAATCAGGCAGTCCTTGTGTTCTGTAACTTCTGGTGGTTAGGGACTACTTTCTTTTCAAACATCATTCTTAGGTTAATGCCTTGGCTGCCTTTGCTTCTGGATACATTAAGTCAATGCATATTGTTTTTAAACATTCATTCATTGATCCATTCACCAAATATTGAATGCATGTTCTGTACCAGGCACTAGCCTAGGTCTCCAGACCATATAACCTGCCCTCCAAACAATGTATCTTCTAGAAGATAACTAAGAAAATAACTTAAGAAAATATATAGAATTTGCAGAGTCAGCTAGTCACTTTTGAGACAAGGTGGGTGGCATGTTGCTCATTGCTTAGTGGGAAAATCAAGTTCAGATAGCATCAGATGCAACCCAGCCTGTATGTATCAGTTTTCTTATCTGTGTTTGTAGGAAACTGTGACTTGAGCAATTCAGAAATAACCTTTGACATGAATTCAGGGTATTATGAAAGGAACCATATATTATACTATTTTTAATTTTAGAAGAAAATACCCAAAATTCATGGGATAACTGCCCCGTGTCTGGTCTAACTCTGGTCATAACTTTGTAGTGACTGTGATATTGTTTGGAGGGCACATGCTATACATTTTCTGTTTCTTTCATTAAATCAAGAACTTACAAATCTTATTTTGAAATAAGAAATCTCATGATCTGTCCCATGAGACAGGAGGGGAAGCTGGTATTCAGCTAGCATGAGCCAGTTTTAGAGGTGAATCACTGCTGAGCTGGGGTGATAGCGGCATCTGTGTGTCCACTCAAGGCATTTGCCTCCTTTGGACAGTTTTTGTGGGTATATTTATTACTTTTATGTAGGAGCAGATTTTTCTGAGGTCCTTGTCTCACCATTCTGAAAATGCTTCATACCCCTTCCCCATCTTTACCTTACTTTTTAAAAAAAATTTTGTAATAGTTTATTTTTACATATTTTTGTGCATTTTTCCATCTCAGTTGCAATCCTCTAGGGTGTACCATCACCACATCACCCATGTGCCATCACCATAGCCAGTGCATGTCCCTCCTCCCATTGTTTTTGATCCCATTCCCCACTCCACCCCCACAAAATGTCTCTAGGATATAGCTATTCATCATTATCATTATTTTCTCGCCTGTTCTGTTATAGTCCTGCTATGAGGGAAACCATCCAGTATTTTTCCTTTTCTTTCTGGAAGCATGATCCCTTCCAGCTCCATCCATGTTGCTGCAAAAGACATGTGTTTCTTTTTTTTTTGGTTTCTGAGTAATATTCCACTGTGTATATGTACCATATCTTTTTAATCCAGTCATATATTTTTGGGCATCTGGGCTGTTTCCATGTCTTTCCAATTGTGAATAAAGCAGCAATAAACATGGGGGTGCAGTTAGCTTTTTGAATCAGTGTTTTTGTGTCTTTTGGGTAGATACCTAGGAGTGGGATTGCTGGGTCATAGGGAAGCTCCATGTTTAGCAGTTTGAAGAACCTCCAAACAGTTGTCTATAGTGGTTGTACTAATTTGCATTCCCACTAGCAGTGCAGGAGAGTTCCTTTTTCTCCATATCCTTGCCAACATTTGTTGTTACTAGTTGTTTGAATATGTGCCATTCTCACTGGGGTGAGGTGGTATCTCATTGTGGTTTTTATTTGCATCTCCCTTATTACAAGTGATGTTGAACATTTTTTCATGTGCTTCTTGGTCATCTGCATTTCTTCTTTGGAGAAGTGTCTTTTTAGCTCTCCTGCCCATTTTTGGATGGGGTTGTTTACTTTATTTTTGTTGAGTTTCATCAGTTCTCCGCAAATTTTTGTGATCAATCCTTTATCGCTAGTTTTGTGTGAGAAAATTTTTTCCTAATCAGTGGGATGTCTGTTTGTTTTTTGTAATGTCTCTTTTGCTATACAGAAGCTCTTTAAGTTTATGTAGTCCCATCTATTTATCCTTGCCTTCACTATCGTTGCATTGGGTGCTGTATCTTTAAAGATGTCGCTGAAGTGTATGTCATGTAGTGTTTGGCCCATCTTTGCTTCCAGGTATTTATGATTTCCATTCTTATGTCTAGGTCTTTAACCCACTTCGAATTGATTTTTGTGTATGGTGAGAGGTAGTGATCTAGTTTCATTTTTTTGCATGTAGCTTCCCAGTTTTCCCAGCACCATTTGCTGAACAAACTTTCTTTGTTCCATTGTATTTTCTTTGCTCCTTTGTCAAAGATTAGCTATCCATAAACCTGTGGGTTTATATCTGGGTTTTCTGTTCAAATCCACTGGTCTGTATGTCTGTTCTTGTTCCAGTACCAATCAGTTTTGATTATTATGGCTTTGTAGTATAGCTTGAAGTTTGGGATTGTAATGCCTCCATTCTCTTTCTTCCTATTCACAAGAGTTTTGGCTATTTGAGGTTTTTTGTTGTTCCATATGAATCTCATCAATATTTTTTCTGTTTCTTTGAAGAATGTCATTGAGACTTTTATAGGCTTTTGGTAGGATGGCCATTTTGATGATGTTAATTCTCCCGATCCGTGAGCAGGGGATGTCTCTCCATTTTATGGTGTCTTCTTGTATTTCTTTTAAGAGGTTTTGTTATTTTCGTTGTATACGTCTTATACCTCTTTTGTTAGGTTGATTCCCAGGTATTTGATTCTTTTTGCTTTAATTGAAAAGGGGATTTTTTAAAATTTCTGTTTCTTCTGATTGGTTGAAAATACCTGACATTTAAATGTGATCACACAATGCCATATATTACATCCCTATAGGAAGGCCTCTGATTTTTGTGTGTTGATTTTATTACCTTACTTTTTTGGGTAGTGTCTCCTGCTCTGCTGGTTCTCTCTCTCTTTAAAGATCTATTTATTTATACATATAAGAATTGGGGTGTAGGCCAGAGGTGTGGAGGCAGGTGAGTGAAAGGATTCATCATACACAGAACAGGTGGATCTACTAAAATACACTCCTGAGGGAAGCAGAGGGCAAGACAGGAGAGGTCTGCTGGGCCATGTGGTTCAGCTCCCTGGCTGGGGATCGAACTCAAGTTAAAGTAGCTTGATAGTCCTATGTCTATGTCTTTAACCTCTGTGCCATTGGAGAGGCCTGTCTACTGGATCTCTAGCTTCAACTGCACTGACTCATGGGTTCCTTGCACCCATGCTTGTTTGCAGCACTGTCACCTTACCTGTTGTATTCAGGAGAATGGGGGAGTCCATTCTCTCATACTCCATGACTTACATCTTCATCTTCAGGTCTTTGCCCAGATGTCCGCTTCTCAGGGAGACTTTCCCAGACTACTTATTTTTGGGGCCATCTTATTTAGAATTGCAATCTTGCCAACTCCAAGCATTCTTAATCTCCTCTTTGATTTATTTTTTCTCCTTAATACTTGTTCTCTAAGATAATACTTATCCGTAGCTAGAACATAAGCTCCACTAGAATTGGGATTTTTTTCCCCCTGTTGTGTTGATCTTTATATCTTAGGACCCAGAATAGTTCCCTACTGAAAGTTGATGCCCCAGATTTGTTGAATGGATGGATATGAAGGAGCAGGGGCCTTGTGGGCAAAGGCTGACAGTTACATAGCTAGCAGGCATAAGCTGGCAACCACAAGAGAGGTGTGGAGAAAGAATAGTGTATGAGGTCGCTTCACATCTCTAGGTGTGAAGAAGGGGGCGAGGAGACAAAGTAGGGCAGTGGAGGGGCAGGGAGCAATGGAAGAGTACCCCAAAGTAGGAAAAAGCCCCCAGGAGCTTTTGGGAAGGGTGGAGAGCTCTCAGAAGCCCTATAAAAATGAACCTAGCACCCTAACCTTGGGCTCCTCCCTTGGGCCTCTCCGGCTGTCATGGGTCTCTCTTGCAATAAACCTGAGCCTGCTAATCTTCAGTCCCGTATCCCGGTGATTATTTCTCAATCAATCAGCCACAAGAAGCCACCTGCTGGATACCCGTTCAACAACACATGGGTAAATAAGTAAATATATAAATGTTAAGTATTATACAATATAACTTAAAAAGAAATTATGTACTTTACTGTTAGAAGGTAATACTAAAATGGGTGTGATGTTATTTGCTTTCTAGAAACTTGAAATTTATGTAGAGAGTAGAAAGCTTATGTAAAAACTCTCATGACCACTCATGGAAATCTCTCTTTGGTGCTTGTTTTTTCTTTGTTTTATATACTTATCTGTGCATGTCCCATATATTACATCCCTAACTTGTAAGTTTGAGGAAAAGGAACCATGTCTTTTTCATTTTGGAGCATTTTCAACCTGTGAAATATGCACTGTGTGATCGCATTTAAATGTCAGGTATTTTCTGAAAATTAAATAATACAGGACAAAATCTAAATGTTGAGTGAGTGTAATGGGTGCTGTTTTATGGGATGTCTTTGAAATGAATGAATTGAGGAGGACATGTAGAATGCTTGGGGGACCTTGGGGAGAGGACCATGCCTGGTGAAAAGATAAAATTTAATTTTAGATATGTCTAAGTGCTTTTAGAAGATAAAAGATGAATGGGAAGACATACATGTTCCTTTACAAGTACTCCCAAGAACCATGTAAATGCAGAAAACTGTGTACAAAGGATAGTGAGATTCCAGAAAAGACAGAAGAAAAAGGAGGTCAAAAACTTCTGGGAGACTTAGGGAGGATGGTGTCTGAAGTCCACCTTGTGTGGTAGGAAGGAACTCATTAGAGGGAAACATAAAAGTCACTTTACTATTTCCCTTCTTTCTTGTTATTTAACAGCATTTCTCTTCTTTTCTATAGGATTTACCGCTACCAATCTCATGACTATGCTTTCAGTAGCGTAGAAAAGTTACTACATTCTCTAGGAGGGGATGAGTTCCTTGGAATGCTAAACCGGACACTTCTTGAAACCTTGCAGAAAGCAGGCTTCTCTGAGAAATTCCTCAACGAAATTGTTGCTCCTGTCATGAGGGTCAATTATGGCCAAAGCATGAACATCAGTGGCTTTGTGGGTAAGCTGAGGCTTGGAACAATATGGGACTTGTTTGATGTTGGGTCAGAAGATGGTGGGATGGTGGGCCTTACCTTTAGACAGGAGTTGGAAAAGACTCCCTTTCTGAAATCTCAGAAAAGAAACACATTGTTGCTAAAATTGTGTATGTGTAGATGTACCACTTTATGGGGAGGAAGTTAGTTGAATGGTTCTTGGGGGCGGGGTGGTAGTGGGGCTATTAGGTGGTGTCTGGAGACATTTGGAGCAGAACTAGCTTTACGGTAGAGTGGGTAGAGTCCCACTTACAGAGTTAGAGTTAAAATCCATTTTTTTCCTGCCACTGACAGGGGCAGTATCAATGGCTGGTGCCGATTCTGGCCTTTGGGCAGTAGAAGGTGGCAATAAACTGGTTTGCTCAGGGCTCCTTCAGGCTTCCAAAAGCAACCTCATAACTGGCTCAGTAATGTATATTGAGGAGAAAACAAGGCCCAAACATACAGGTGAGCTCGGTCTTCCATTTTATTTATTGTAAAGATTTGTTTATTTATGTATAAGAGAACTGGTGTACAGGCCAAAGGTGTGGGGGTTGAGAGGATTCAGCAGAGACAGAGTGGGGAGTAGAATAGGCAGATCAATAGAAATACACCGCTGAGGGGAGCAGTGGGCAGGTCAGGAGAAGTCTGCCAGGCCATGTGGGTCAGGCCCTGATCAAGGAATCAAACTGCACTGTGGTGGCAGCAGGAGCTCCACAGTGCTGTGCCCTAACCCATTGCACCACCAGAGAGGCCCCCCCGGACTTCCATCTTATTGTTCCTAATTTCTCCTGTAGGATATAGTTGCTTGGGAAAAACAAAATCTCTTTTCCTTCATCTCACACAGTCCCAGTTGATAGGATTTTAAATTGCATTTATTACACCAAGTAGAAATATTCTCATAAGAGTACAAGGTCAATGGCATGATTCCTTGAATTTGAAAAATCATCTCCTCAAAATAAAAATTTCTTATTTTGTACTTACTGACAAGATTTTCTTGCACTCCAAATAGGAAGTATTTTATTCCAGTAATAAAATGAAAGGGATGGTTATATTAAGGAATATAACTTCTTGAATTCCTTAGAATGATAGAAAGCCAAGAGGTTATAGAATTGCTTTTAGAAGGTTTAAAATGCAGTGTGGTAGAAACATTAAAGGAATATTTGCTTCCTTCTTCTAGGAAACCCCACAAAGATGTATGAAGTGGTCTACCAAACTGGATCTGAAACCCGTTCAGACTTCTATGACATTGTCATAGTGGCCACGCCACTGAATCAAAAAATGTCCAATATAACGTTTCTCAACTTTGATCCTCCAATTGAGGAATTCCATCAATACTATCAACATATAGTGACAACTTTCGTTAAGGGAGAGTTGAATTCATCTCTCTTTAACTCTAGAGCCTTAGATAAGCTTGATCTCACAACAATCTTAACCACTGATAATTCAGATTTGTTCATTAATAGTATGGGAATTGTGTCCTCAGTAAGAGAAAATGATAGTCCTCAACCATCCACAGATGGAACTTATATTTGGAAGATCTTTTCCCAAGAAACTCTTACTAAGAAACAGATATTAAAGCTCTTCTTGTCCTATGATTATGCTGTGAAGCAGCCGTGGCTTGCATATCCTCACTATAAGCCTCCACAGAAATGCCCGTCCATCATACTCCATGATCGTCTTTATTACCTCAGTGGCATAGAGTGTGCAGCAAGTGCCATGGAGATGAGTGCCATTGCAGCTCACAATGCCGCTCTTCTTGCCTATCATCGCTGGAATGGGCATACAGGCATGATTGATCAAGAGGACTTATATGAGAAACTTAAAACTGAGCTATGAAACACCACCCACCATCTCTTTTGTGCTCTCCTGGCTCCTGATGAAAATTCACTGGCAAAAAACACGATCTGAGCAAAGGTGATTTTGAATCAGATAATTTTGCCATTATCATTGCTTAACAAAGTAAAACACAGTGTCATGAGAAAATACAAGGTTCTAAGTGTTACGGTGTTAAGTATTGCATTTATACCATCTTCAAAATTTAACTCTTAATATCCATCAATGGTATTTCCCAAGCCTGTCTGCTCATAAGAATCCTGTGGAATGTTAAAACATGGAATATCTAGCTTCCCTGGAGGGTCTGATTCAGTAGGTCTGGAGGTGGAACCAAACCTTAGAGCATTTTACACTGTACTTGAGGAAGAATTTAAAGACCTACCTTATAGTTGGGGGACTAGTTCATTTGTGCTTCACAGTTGGCCGTGTTCTTCAGTCATGAAACTACTATGGGGACTGGTATCTGACACCTGGCTTTAATAATTTATATCCTTTTTCAAAGTAAATGTGCCTGAAGCTTTGACTTTCAGAATGTTCTTTTGGCTACTTCTCAGTTTTATTAGGGGTGAAATTCAGAAGTCTTAATGTAACCTTAAGATGTTACATTAAAAACCTCCAGTAAAACGAGAAGTATAGGTTGTTGACTCAAGAGCTGGCATTGTTATCATTTGAGGTTGTAAAAATACTGGTAGACTTAGCACCCCCACCAGATTCTGATTTAATGGATTGATGCTAGCACCTCAGTACTAGAGCTTTTAAAAATTGCTAATGTACAACCTGGGTTGAGAATCACTGGTGATGGGGGTTTAAGGTGTCTCCAAAGGGTTTTTAGTGCCTTAAGTCCCAAGAAACCCAACCCATTATCAAAGCAGATCTGTTTTGTGAAAGATTATTTCTCCCATGAGAACTCTAGTAATGGATCTTGGTAAAAAGCACAGGCAACTTAGAGCAGTTGACAGTGTAGTATATTCAGAATGATACCACGCTTGATCCAGCATTATGTCCAAACTGTTAAGTGCTTCAAGTTTCTGCATTTTGGTTGAGAAACTGGTTGCTGAGATCTTGTTTTAAAAGTGGTCATTCTCAACCTTGGCTCCATGTTGCAATCACCTGTAGGATAGCACCTCATGAAATGATTCTAATGTGCAGCCAAACTTGAGGACTAGTTCTGCACCTTCTGTACAAAGGTCACAACTGCTTGAGTCATGGTGGGACAGAAGAAGTAAGTAACTGCAACCAAATTATTGTTAAATAGAAAGTCCTTTACCAGATTACAGTAGTACAATTTAGCAAAAACACTTAAAATTTCTCTACCACAATTGTGTGAAGATTATGCCAATAGAACTGCTAAGATAGTGGACAGGCAGGGATTACATTTAGTTTGTCAGTGGGTAAGTTTTTCCTAGCAAGTATATTTAGGGTGTTTTTTCCCCCCCTTTTGTGGTTTAAGTGAGGGAAATATGTAGGGAATGTAATACTGGGTTAATACATATATGCTAAAGATTGGAAAGAACAAAGGGCTAATGAAAGTTAATTTAATTTCTATCTCTTGTAGACTTGTTTTGCAATGGGATATATTTTTACTAAAAGAACACCAATTTTAAAAGCTGCTAGATCACACCTACTGATTCTTTTCTAACAGGACATCTGAAATTGCTTTCTCAAAGAGCAAAAAAGGTTATCATGTGGTAAGCAAATTAGTTTTAATAAACTACAGAATCAAAGAATTTTTTTATTGGAAGAAAATACTACCAAGAGTCTACTATTCCAGAGATCACCTTAGTTCATCTTTTTTACAGGAACAGACTAGTAAATATGCTGGATCTGAAAAGAAGTCAGTTCTGTTCCAGCAGTTCTGTTATCTTGGAATTACCTGTAGGGCTTGTTAAATAAATCATTGCTGGGTCTTACTCCCAGAATGTTTCAACAAATTGAGAGTGATACCACTGGCCTAGGAAACCACACTTAAAGAGAACCATTCCACAATTCTGATGTAAGTGGTTTAGAAAAAAATAAGTCTATGAAAAACAGCTGTTGGAAGAACAGAAATGTACCAGACCTCACATTATTATTGTAACTAGCTATTCAGTTTTTCTGTAAGCATTTTCTATAAATAACACCAGACATACAGTTCATTGTGTTTTGTAAAGTACCTTATGTACTCACTCGTGTGTACCCCATTCTCTACAGTTGTGATTCAAAGTTTGTAGGCTTTTTATCAGATCACAAAAAGAAGAGCCCTAAGTATTTGCCTGGTAGTTTTCTTAAGATTAGGTTTATGATACAACCATCTGTAATATATCCCATCTGAGTTTGTATACCTTAATTTATGAACTAGATGAGTATATAATGGGCAGCATTATCACTACCCTCTCTACTCCATAAAGAACCACAATACACTGGAATGGCTCTCTCTGGAATTCTATTTCTACTCTTGTATTAAAAAAAATTTTCCGGCTTATGTTCAAAATAAACAACTACATCACTATATCCTGTGTTTTACTTTTGTTATACTACACCTGAGAAACAGCTATGTTGCAGAGTAAACATTACATCAAAGTTACAACTTTTAACACAGTTAATATTTCAGAAGAAACTTATTCTGGTAGGTAGGTAGCAGCTTTTTTGGGTCTCTTTAGTGGTAAATATCAGGGAGAAAAGGCATCCTTGTCATTTTCCATATTTAATAAGACTTCCACTTTAATGCATTAAAAACCTTTGAAAAAATTGTTCTGAAACAGGAATGGCTCTTGATAGAAAAAATTCTAAGTGCTAATCTGTTTTCTTTGTTCAAAAAATGAGAAAGCATTTTTTGACTATTACAAAAGTTTATTTAACAAAAAAGTTCAGTAGGAAAATGTACACAACCCAATTTTTGTAGCATAGTAAAAAGATGCTGTGGCAAGGGGACATGTGGAAGGAACTGCTTTCTCTGACGAACACAGCCACTGCTTATACACGTTCCAAGGCTTCTAACATGATGATACTATTTCCTCTTATTACCTAAAAAAAGAAAAATAAATTTGAAGAGAACACAATTCATTTAATTCACTTAACAGACACCAATGATGATTAAGGAATTTTCACCAAACCATTGATTAAAAAAAAAAGAAAAAAAAAAAAAAGATTTATTTATGCACACAAGAACTGAGGTACAGACCAGAGATGCGTGGGGTAAGAGGATTCACCAGAGGCAGAGTGTGGAGCAGATTAGGCGGACCTACTTAAACACACAGTTGACAGGAGCAGTGGGCGGGTAGAAGTCTGCTGTGCCATGTGGGTCAGTGCTGTAGCCAAGGACTGAACTTGTGCTGCACTGGCTGCAGGTAGCCTCATAGTGCTGTGCTTTATCCTACTGTATCACCAGGGAGGGTCCCCATTAATGGTTTTTAGTATTAACTATCAGTTTATGAATTTCTTTTCAACTTAAACACAAAATAACTCATTTATTTATTTTATTTT